AAAAAAAAAAAAAATGTTAAAAAACAAACCAAACCAAAACAGCATAAAACTCCCTGGGCAAAGTGGCCATGTCCTAGTGTCAAAACCACAGAGCACTCCACTCCCCTAGAGCCCGACCAAGCGAACCCAGCCAGTGGCCAGAAGAGCTAAGGTGCCTTCGGCAGCGAGTGCAGCACTGCGCGGGGCAGGCCCCTGGAGGTGTCAGGATGGAGATTCCTGCAAGAGGAGCCTGGAAACAGACAGCTGGAGTGGCCCCTAGGCTGGCTGTAGCCAGGGAGCCAAGGGAGCCAGTGACCTGACCCCAGGCCCGCACACTCAGAGAAGCCTTCTTGAAGATCTGCCGTCTCTGAGTCCAAAACTGTACCCTAAGGAAATGCTTAAAGATCCACAGACTCCTGGGCACGGGGCTGGGCACTGCACCTTCTGAGTCTTAAAAACAAAGTGCCAGGGGCTGAGGTTGTGGCTAAGTGGTAGAGGGCTCACCTAGCATGCATGAGGCACTGGGTTCGATCCTCAGCACCACATAAATGTAAAATAAAGATATTGTGTCCACCTAAAACTAAAAAATAAACATTAAAAAAAAAACCCCAACAATGCCAATGAAAAGCTGGACATCAGGGCCGAGTGTGGCAACACACTGCCCTTCAGATACCAGGTGGGAAGCCAAGCCAAGAGGGGCCCCAGTACCTGACCCCAGTGGGAGCGGGCCCGGTGGTGGCCCAGGGTTCATAGCCTACCCCTTCCCTGGCCCCAAGGTAGGTGATGACCTAGCCAGGGGCTTCCCTGCCTCCCAAGTGGAGCCCATCAGCTCCTGCCCTCTCAGGCTTGCTCTAGAAGCTTCTACCCAGCTCCCTGAGCACTCTGTGCTTGGCACACTTCTGTCACTTGTAACCTCAGAATCCTGAGTAGCACTGTGGAATGCTGGGCAAGCATCTGGACCCAAGGCCACAGACATGTGGAAAGCACATATGGTCCCAAAAGCAGATGACAAGAAGGTACACAGCATGATTCTGGTTTCAAGCAGCATCCTCCCCACAAATCCAGTGCAAGACAGACCCCAGTGTGAGGGGCTTCTTTGTCTTCCTACAGCTCCTCCCGCCCGTGTGGCCCATGGACGTGTCCTGCCTTTGTAAGCTGGCAGACAGGCGACAGTGATAACGCTGCCTTTTCAACCAGAGCTCATTTCCTGAGTACTCGGGAGGATGACAACAAGGCCAGCCCTACCCAGAGGATGTGGCCTCTGCCACTGGCCTGCAGCTGACCTTGTAAGCCCAGGGACTGTGGTCTTACCAGTTCTGAGGGCCACTCAACCCAGAGCATAAATCCCTCTATGTGGCCACAGTGTGGGCTACACACCTCTGCACAGAGCACCCCACACCCATGGGGCAGTGCAATCCCCTGCAGAATGCTGGGAATTTCCTGTGGACCAGCTGGCCTCCCTCTCCTGGGCTCCTTTGCCTCAGGACCTTTGCACACACTGTTTCCAATGCCTGTGACCCTCTTCTCAAGTTCAGTCTTATCACTGGGATCTCAATGGAAACACCCGAGAGTTTGGAGCTTTAATAGTAAATGGCCCCACATGTTAGGCAAACCTGAAGAAAGTGCCACCATCTACCTGAAAGCCAGTATATTGCTGAACACAGTGTGAACTTGATCCTTGCCTAAGGACACAGGGTCATGCTGGGTCATCAGGACTGGTAGGAAATGAGGAAAAAGACTCCCACCCCAGAGAGGTGGGTGGGTCACCCAAGGTCAGCGAGCGGGAAAGACAGAACGAGGATGCAGGCCCCACCAAAGGTGCCCATACAGCAGCCCAAGAGAAGGTTGTTACCCAAGCCTGGGGACCACAGGCAGCCAGGACAGGCCCCCACATACAAAAATAGCATTTTCACTTAGAGGACAGGATGGCCTCAAGTCCCCTCAGTCACCAGGCCTCTAGAGCAGTACTGCCTGCTTTGCTGTGGGACCACAAGGAAGGGCCTGACCCGCTAAGCCTCCAGCTCTTCCCTGTGAGTGAGAAGCCCCCCCACTGAGGCCTGCAGCCACAGCAGAGGCAGGGAGAGCTGGGGCACCTGGGAACAAGCTGGCCCTAGAGGAGTGCAGCCAGCAGCCTGGTTTAGGAAGAACATGTCACTAGCCCCCAAGAACCCAAACAAGTGACTCCCCACACTCCATCCACTCTGCAACCAAGAGGTGGACATAGGGACCACACTCCCAAAAAGGGGCCTTGGGAATGCTGTGGCCTGAGATACTCAGTCCAAAGAAACCTTCACACTATAGGGCGCAGACACTGGAGAAGTTTGCGGGTCCCCAGTGTAGGGCTGTCTGGGGGTGACAGTGTGGGGAGTCACTTGTTTGGGTTCCTGGTTCCAGCAGGCCCCTGTGGCAACCTTGGAACAGCCTCATCAATCCCAATTCCACAGACTGAACCCCTGCAGCGGCCCGGGACTGACTGGCCCCTAGAGAGGCAGAGGCAAGAGTTCTGAGGAAGGCCTGGCTCCCCAGCTTGCTCACTGGCTAATGCTGAGCTAGCCCACTCTGAGCCTCAGCTTGCTGATCTGTATAATGGAGATAACTGTGCCCAGGTCTAGGCTGTGTGAAAGGGGGCTAGTGACAGGTAGCCCCAGGGTGGATCTCACCAGGGATCCTGCCAGTGGGTCACAGGGGCAGGGAACAGCAAAGGACCAAGACTGGTCTCCCATGGCAGGGCCCAACTCCTGGCCCTACCTTGCCCCAGGATGGTCAGAGAGACAGAGCTCTTCTCAGCAGGGCACAGAGGCTGAGGAGGGGGCCCAGGACAGCACGTGTGAGGGTCACCCCAGGAGTCGGGCAGCCAGTCCCACAGCAAGCAATGCCTTAGCATCACCCACCCACTCTGGAAGGAAGCTCCAGCTCCGCTCCCACCTTGGCACCCTCATGTAAGGCACACCAGTCCCACTTCAGGCTGAATTTAAAGACACCTGGTGCCCACCTAAAGGCACAGCACACGGAGGGCAGGGCAGGACACACATCCACAGCCCCTTGCCAGAGGCAGAGGTGGCGGGGGAAGGAGACAGGCTGGTTTCCACACCGTGAATTATTCAGTGGCTAATTCTGCTCCTTAGAGAGAAGTGAGTCAGCGCCCTCCCACCATGGAGTAGGGCAGGAAAGGGGGCAGAAACCAGCGCCCTGCCGGGAGCCAGGCTGACTGCGGGGCCCAGCCAGCACCCCCAGGCTTCTGTGGGCTGCAGGCACCTGACCTGAGAGCTAGAACAGAGGCACCCTAGAGGGCTGGCAGCAAGTTCAACTGTGGCTGGCAGCATGAGCAGGTGGCAGCCCACGGGCCACAGGAAACAGCCATCTAGGTGCCAGGGGCCCCTGACCTTCAGAACTGAGAAGTGGGCCAACCCTCAGGGCAGATAACTTTCCAGGTAAAGCACAACCACCTGCTTCAACAGCCCTCCAGGGAGAAGCGTGACAGAGCCACCACACCGGACAGTCCTAGGAGCACAAGAAGCACAGGTTGCCTTACACTGAATGGCCCCAGGCCCAGGCTTTACACAAATCCTCCTGGGGCTCCACATGTCCTTCCTCCTGCTGTCCCTAGGTGTGCCTAGGCCAATCTCTTGCCCCCTTTCTAATCTGCTTAGAGCTGGGGGACCTGGGGTCAGGTAAGCACAGAGTGGGAGCAGAAGCTCCCATACTGCCTTATCCGCTACTTCCGGTTTTCCTCCTTTGGACAAGGGAGGCTGCAGAGGACAGAGCTGAATAGCAAGCGCTACATGGCCCCAGAATACCGGATCCCCACACAACCATGGGGCTCTATTGTGACCCACTGGAGAACCCTGAGGTGCTCAGGGTGACCAGGCACCTTAGCCAAGGAGCTTCTGGAATCCGGATCCCCAAACAGGAAGGAAAAGCTCACAGCCCAGTCCCCTGCACCCAAGTGACAATGGCTCAGCCAAGGGGGTGGTGCTGGGACTTGGAGTGAGGCCAAGCCTCCAGATCCACTGGGAGAGGGCTGAGATGGGCCCCTACTGCTCCCTCAGCTCTGCCTGGGCTCAGTTCCTTCCAGCCTCCCAGAATGAGGCCCATTCACCTCCCTTCAGCCAGGCCTCCCACCCCCAAGGGCTGCTGGCAGCCTAGTCTCCAACAGCCACACACGCACTGTGTGTACATCCCACAGCCTGACCGCGGAGCAGGGGGTCATTACCAGCCACAGAGGGCTGGCATCTGCCCAGGCTACTTACCCACCAAAAGCCTGGCAGCGGGATTCCCCAGCTGAGGCTGAGGGGGCGAGGAATCCCCTCCTGCACCAGGGTGCTGAGGTTCTCAGAGCCCTGGAGCCCTGGGTAAGGGGGTCTGCTGGGAACCTGGGGTACTGGCCTGTCTTTAAGGAGGGGTTGGGGGCAAGAACCCAGAGCAAGCAGAGGGGCTCCACGGAGGGGAGGAAGGCAGTTCCACTATCCCAGAACAGGGGCCTTGTTGACACAAGAGGAAGCCAGAATTTGGAGGGGGCTGAGGACCCTCCATAGGGGCAGGAGAGTATTTAGACCCTTGAAGAGGCCCATGGCCCACAGAAAACCCTCCAGAAAGAAGGGGTTGTGACACTGGATGGGGGTGGGGAGTCTTCCTACTCTGGGGAGGAACCCAGGACCCAGAGACCTTCCACTGGAAGGGACCGACCCTGACCCCGAATGGGTGCTGAAGGGTATGTGAACCCCTGAGAAGGGGGACCAGGACTCAGAGGAGAACCTCCATTGGAAGGGGCCCTTATCCTGAATGGGGGCTGAAGGGCATCTGTACCCCTAGGAGGGGGCCTGGGACACGGCCCAGAACACAGAAGAGATCCTCTAGGGGAAGGACCTGAGTGGTGACCCCGGATGGGCTGGAAGGTATCTGGAACCCCGAGGAGGGGCCCAAGGCCAGAGGAGACCCTCCAGATGGAGGGGACATGACCCCGGATGGAGAGGAGAAGGCGCGACCCGGGCCCTGACCCCGCAGCTGGGGGCGCGCGTCACCTGCTGATAGTCGGCGTCCGCGGGCCGGAACTGGCTGCTGGTGGCCTCCCACCGCAGGTCGAAGTGGGGCAGCCGGTGCAAGAGGCTCACCCACCAGGGCGCCGCGTAGCTGACCCCGGC